ATTGCAAAGTAATAATACTAGTGGGTGATTGTTTGTAATAGCGATTTTTGAGCTAAAATGGTGCATACGATTTTGCTGCAATGCGTTTTAGTTGAATTCAGTGTGGAAATGGCTGGGAAATTATGCTTTTGTTATCTCGTCTTCTATAACTTTATTTTAGCTTATTGTCGTTTATCTGTCAACTTTAATTATTTGTTGTGGATTTCATAAAGACACTAAATTTTAGTATGGCTGACGTTGCTAAGGTTCCTGCTTCCAACCAAGGGACATCACAGAGTTGTGAGAAAGAGAACCGTGACGCGGGAGACGGGAAGGCTAAAAAGGAAAAGAAATTAGAATGGACTTTGAATGACTTCGAAGTTGGAAGATCCTTGGGTAGGGGCAAGTTTGGCAATGTGTATTTAGCACGGGAAGCGAAGTCGAAATTCGTTGTAGCTATGAAAATTCTTTATAAGGAGCAGATAGAAAAACACGGGGTGCAACAACAGTTACGTAGAGAAATTGAGATACAATACCACCTTCGGTACTGTTTTGATCCAGTTTTCTTAAAAATTCTTAATTTTTTATTGATGCAAGTTTAATTTTCTTTTCCGAGGTTCAGTATTTAATATTTTTTAGGCATCCAAACATTTTACGACTTTATGGTTATTTTCACGATGAAAGTCGTGTATATCTAATCTTGGAATATGCATCTCGTGGGACTCTTTATGCTGCGCTTATGAAAGTAACTTTTTATGAAAAACTCTCAGTTTATGGAAAGATAAATTAAAAGCTGAAGTTGATTTTGGCAAGTGATTTATGAGGGTATATGGGCTTTCCTGATTTTGCGGCAAATGTATGTTTTTCGGTTATTAATTCGAACCTAATTTGAGAAGCTAAACGTTTAAGTGAGTTGCTCTGTCTTTTATTGTGGGCTACCACTAAATGATTTTAAAATAGCATTTCTGTGAAAGATAACCTAATTTTGTTATTGAAGTTCTATTTTTGCTTGATATTTTAGTCATATTTATTATTGGGTTTGAGATTAAGAAAATTTTTTAGATAATCTTTCTAGGTTTATTGGTAACTAGTTTTACCCCTGTGGAACAGGCTTACCTCGCTTGAAGTTTCGCACTTCTATGCAGTTCAATTTTTGTTCCTTAGGGGATAGGTGGTGGAAATAAGTTTGATAACTGATTCACCAATCCACTGTAGATTGTTGAGTAACTGGGAGAGGGGACATGAACATTTTGCTTTATCTCACCAAGGTTTTTTTTATTCTGAGATTGGGCAGTGAAGCCCGACACCAGTCTTGAATTGAAACCGCGCCACTGCTGCTTATCTAAATGGCTGAAGATTTGCGGAGAAACCATCATCAGTTCCAGGGCATAACAAAAAGTTTTTAACAGGTGAAAACACATTTTTTTACAGGAAAAAACTTTCTCACCAAAAGCATCTGCCACTTATATGTATCAGTTAGCATCCGCTTTGGAGTACTGCCACCAGAAGAAAGTTGTGCACCGTGATCTAAAGCCAGAGAATGTACTTGTTGCGAAAAATGGTGATATTAAGATCGCTGATTTTGGATGGTCGGTTCATGCACCGTCATCAAAGTAAGCATATAAATCTGCTTGCTTTTAATCAAAGTTGGTGCCTTTTAACTATGTTGAACTATAAAAACCAATATTTGAAACGTTTAGACGTCAAACAATGTGTGGAACCTTAGACTATGTACCACCGGAGATGGTGAAACATCGACAACATGATGCTATGGTTGATAATTGGTCATTAGGTGTAATGCTCTATGAGTTTTTTGTTGGCAAGCCTCCTTTTGAATCTGATGTAGGTCTAAAAAAACTTTTCCTTAAATTGATTTGGCATTGCAAAATAAATGAAAAATTTAATTTTGTAGTCAGTTTTCTTTGTCCTTGGAAAAGTTTCTTTTTTTGTTCTCTCCTTGACTCAGTTATATTTAAGTATGAAGAGGTAACTTTGAATAACATCCGGATCGGAAGGTTCAAAATACCACCAACAGTTCCGAGCGGTGCTCAAGACCTAATTAAGGGAGTAAGGCTTCATATTGTCTCTTTCAGTAATCTTCTGAAGTAACGATTTTCCCTCCATATTTTACTCTCTGAAATTTTTTGCTTAGCTGTCTCAGGTTATTCATAATAAAAATTTTTACAGTTGCTGCAGCTGGAGCCTTCCGATCGTCTTCCTCTCACCGAAGTGATGAGACACCCTTGGGTTGTTGAAATGTTAAATACACCTGCAGTACCGACTGAGACAGACAAGCGTAACTTACTAAAGAGCGCTTCGTTGACAGACGCAAATAAGTAATGCGGGATTTTCTATATTACGTTCGTTACGGAAATGTTTATCTCTCTTTCGCACCATTTCTTGGACGGAAACTGATCAGGTTTTTAACATGACCTACTTCCCATCTAAAAAAGATTGTTTTTGTTTTTTTACTATATTCTTACCTATCTTATCAGTTTCAGCTGTATAACTGATTAGAAGCATAACCTTTTCTAATGACTAAGAAGCTTATCAATTCCTGCTTCAAATATTCTGAAGCATATGATAGCTAAATTGGGAGCTGTCACAATAGAGCGGCAAAGTGTATATAAAAGTCAAGTAATTTTGGCCATCTTCTTTAGTAGACTGGGAGGAGTAGGGATAAAAGAAATCGGCTTCAAAATTGTGATATTCATGAGGAAAACTTTGTGAATCCTTTGATTCTTTTTGTCAGAAGTGGTACGGTCTCTTTCATTCATGTTTTTTTTCTTTAGTCAAGATCCGAGAGCTATTACTACTGACTTCTTACATATACCATTTCATTTTTGCTAGCTTTTTATTATTCAAGTTTAGAACTGGATTTAAAACAACTACTTCTTTTCTGTGCCTTGTGAAGAACTGAGTACTTTTTAGTGCTAGCATTAACTGCTATTTATTTACTAAAACCGCCGGCAATGATATTTACAAAAAGTTGTTTTAGGTATTGTTGGTGGAGGGTGGAAGTTGGTGTAGCTTTTTGGAAATCATTTTAACTGCTTCAAAAGAATTGAAGTATTATTTATTGTAAAAAGCAGCAAATTGTTGTTGTGGTCTGGCTTTCCAAATTTACTGCCTTTTTTTATAGTCTTTTGTTAAGTCGGTCTTCAATAATGGTTCTACATCAAACTTAAAATACTGTACAAATTTAGGTATGGGATTATGTTTAGTTTCGTACATTCGTTATCATAGGTCATCTTCTTTGTGGTGATTGAAAATTGTTTGTGAAATATATTATTGTTCTACTTTGCTATTAAATTATCACGAATGACAACGAAGGATTAAGTGAAAGAAAGTTGTGTCAGAATAAGGTACCAGCCAGACTGAACTCAAACCCCAATTTTTAATGAAAGGTATAAGGTACGAGAAGGATAGTAAAATATCAGGCGTTAAAATATTCCTTATACCAAATATGTGAGGTTGAGGTTCTTTAAAGCCTTGGGCTGTCATCCGCTTTAAAACAATAAACCTCTTTTTCAGAGAAGCCTTAAAAAATGATACTGTTTGGATTTACGACTCATTTACGGTATTTTCTATTTACATTTAAAGTGGCCTACCTAAAGAAAACTCAAATGAATCCACATAAAGCTCTCCTTATTGCAAAAAAAAACATTGACTTCTAAGCTTCACTGCAGAAAACTAGGTGTTTCAGCTAACTCTCCGTTGGTGAAAGTTGAGCGAAAACTCCTTATTTAGCGCAAAGACTAAGGGATCTCACAAAAAACAGAAGGAGGGACAGCTTGCAGAAATGGATGTGCAAAAAAGCTTGCGAAAGCTATGACAATATTTGCGTACCTAACTGCAAAACGGGTTGACCAACTATTGTCATAATTTTTTGAACTCTTGTTAGCAGGCCTCATCGCATTTATACAACATGTTCCTGAGAAATGTTTTTTTTGGAGAAGAAGCTGATGCCTCTCGTGGTTTTGTCGATCTTGACAGCAGTCAAATCCGGTTCCTTCACTTGCGAAACTTGTTTTTGCTTTTATACGAAAGGATTAGTAGGCACAAACAAGGAATTAAGGATAGGGACGAAGTTGAGAATGGAAGCTGCCACCATGGAAACATCATGAGGGATACTCGATGGTGAGAAGATTTCTTGTAGAACTTGCATAGTCTGACGTGAGGAGACTCGGTTTCACAGTTATTGGTGGTCAATTTTGGAGAGCAATCACCAGGACATTTCACTTCGCGTTATTAATTTTTAAATTAGTTATGATATGCCACAGTACTCATAAACCCCTCTAATTTCTCCCCTTAAGTTAAATCACATTTATAAACAATAATCCAGGGTATTCCATAGGTCACCATCGTTGGTCACCATGGGAAGTTTTTGAAATCAAGTTCAGGCAATGTTTTGATCTGCATCTTGCTCAAATAGGTCTCAAAAAGTTGCCAATACTGCGAGTACAAGGCTTCTGCTACACCTTTTCTATTTCTTTCCATGCTCTCCTCTGTCTGATTCTTGTGTAGGCCTTTCGCCAACCGCTTTACCAGCTACAAAGTATTTAAGCATCTTAAAGTTCAAAAGAAATAACATTATTTGCTTGTCAAGTTCATTCCCAAATATCTCCACCAACTGGAATGAAAAACTGACTTCTAATGCCTAAGTTTAAAATTTATAAGCTCATCTTGGGGACTTAATTCTGGTTTTTGCCAAAGCCTAATCGAAAAGTAGGGAAAAGTGATTCACAGTTTTGTTAAATTCGTTATCTGTTGTTCTAACAGAGAGCTTGGTTAATTTTTTGGAAAAACTGCTCTAGCATATGACTAGTCGTTTTCACGAAGTAGAAGCAGCTATTTTTTTAACGGGGCCTTGGAAAGAATAGCATTTCGCTAACAACAAACAAGAAATTCAGCTTTTTTAAGATCTTTTTTCTTTGGATATGAAGTAGGCTGGTAGTCCAATGAAACTTCGACAGCTTTTGAAGCGTCACCGCACTTAAAGGTGCCCACTCCAAAACATCCTTGTTGTTGTTAAAATACCTCAGTTTTATATTTAGGGTTTTGAACTTCGCTTAATTCGTATTCAATAACTTCAAAATTGTCCGTGTACTTCTTTTCAATTTTTTAAGGGCCTTACACTAAAGTTTCGTTTTAATTTCTATAGCGTTTCACAAAATCACTCCACCGATAATGTGTGATGTAGCAAACAGTAACACCTCTTATAACCAACCGTTAAGCGTTGGGCGCAATCTCCTCTAGAAGCTAGTTGTCGCGACCACTCGCGAAAGGCACCGTATGGGAATTAAGGTTACTGTAGCTCCCTGAGGGGAAGCTCCCGGAGGGGCTGCAGACTGATCGCCTGAGCAGATGAAGGCGAAGTATAAAAGAGGCAGTAATCAGGAAACTATTGTTGTTATTGCTGGTATTGCGATTATAATCCAAATGTTGCTTCCGGTCAATACTGTTGCTCATTGGCAGTTGTTTACCTCAGTTTACATCACTCTTTTCTGTCAGTACGTGCCTAGTAAGCAACTTTTGATTTGTTTACTTGATCTTAGGTTGTTTTCATTTATAATATCCTTATTATATTGCTGAGTGTGGGCTAGTGTCAACTAGAGTTTCTATTAGTAAAACATAAAGGTTAAGTAAGAATATAGGGGTTGAACTGTAAGAATGGCTCCAACAAAATAAGAAGGTATTACCCAAGAGGCACATGAGGCGTCAAGATATAGGAGGTCAAAGACAGAAATTGAGGGTCTCAAATTAATACAGGTTACAGTCTATTGGTTGGTTTTGTGGCGAGTGAGAGCTAAATTACGACCCACAATAAGAATATCATATCACTAGAAAAACCCTTATTGGAGAGGTAGGAGAATTACTACCGTAGTAATTCTTCATTTTAGGAAGGTGTCCGTTAGCCACAACACTAGTCCTTGTACTCTTGCTTCTCTGCTAATTCACCAGTTCCTGTGGTCCTCAGTGCCTAAGTTCTTTCATAACGTACTTTTTGAGAAGAAGATTGAATAGAAAACTTAACTGAAGGTAATTTGAAGGATCCTTTCGATAAATTTCTGCATGACTACGTCTTTCGGGAATCTTTCGTCTACATATTTTTTGATTTTGTTGTGGATGAGTAAGTTCATTAACGCAGATGTTTTGAGGTAGACTTAAAAATGATCAGGAAATGCAAAAAGTACGGTTGTGAGAGTAGTTAATTAAAACCTTCTTGATTTCTAGGTCTGCAGCTAAAAACGTATTTGCTATCCATTATAATACAGGAGAACAGTAAACCATTACTGTAAAATGTTCAAATAATTATAAAGGAGCTTTATCATTAGTTCGTTAGAAGGAGATATTTGGACAGAACCTGAAACTGTTACGGATCACGGATGAATCAAGCTAGTTTGGGAGCCTTGTACGAAAAGACGAGGGTAGAGTGAAAGTAGAAATGAGCGTTTTCAGTGCGCACGCTTAGCCGCGGCATCGGCCGAATCCTGAGACAGTTTTTTAATGCATTCTTTCTACATGCACAGCTCATTTATCCGACTACCGGTTGCTTCATTTCTGCTAAGTTTGGCGAAAGCCCCGCAAATTTTGTTGTATTCAGCGGCAGGAACCATAGGGTGCCATTGGTGGTGGCGTCAAGATTCGCAACAAACAGTCTTAGATCCTTGATTAAAGTGGCTTTTGCAAAAATATAATACTGATGTCGGCAGAAGTACCAGCGCAGGATTAAGCTCATATAACTGAGTCTTGCTTAATCGGCAGTAATGTGGAAAATGGCCCTGCTTTGGCAGGGTTCTCATCTGCGTGGAACGTCTTGGAAAGAGCACTAAGTTAAAGGTGGCGTCTTTTCAAGATTTGCTAGTATTTTTCAATTGCGCTGTTTAAAATGATCGTAAAAATAAAAAAGATTTTGTTTTCAGTGAAATTGCTGCAATGTAAAAGAACGTATATGGGCATGCCAAGTGGCACATTTTTTACCCTCGTATGTTAAATTTTGTTTTTTAAATTTTACTGGCTGGTAGAAACTGGACCTATACAGAAAGCCGGAGAAAAACCTGGAAAAGTGAATTCCCCGTCGTTGAAAGTTGTTGGAATTGGCAGGTTACCGCTTGACGCTTGACATACCTGTTTTGCAAAGTCATAATTTGGCTTGTTCTCAATAGAACTTAATGGTTTTTGACTCATTGAAGTTTCATCTCTTTTTTCTCCAAATGCATGTTAAATAATTTAATTTTACTCCGTATTTGCTTAAATACAATTAAAAAAATTACAATTAAACATTAAAAAGATGTATCTGTGAATTTAAAAAAGAAAAAAACATTTTGCTTTAAATC